CAAGTACAGTAGAGGGTTGCAATAATTTCATATCGTACTTCAACTCATGCTCTAAAACCATCCAAAAAATAGCTTTTAAGTAAAATTGGTCCAACACCAGAGGATCTATTGGCTAATCGCTAAAACTCCATAATATAATCTTTTAATGTACTTGTTTGGCGTAGCTTAAACAAAGTCTCAATGCTATCTTCAAACATAAAAGGCCCAAACTCCTGGTAGAAGGCTTTGGTGAAATCTTCCCAACGAGGTGTGCTATACAATCATGCCATCGAAACCACTACTAGGCTTCATGCTCCATATGAAAAGAAACCGTGAGCACTTTTTGGTGATCAGGTGTGCCATAATATGAGAAGTACTACTCCGCTTTATATATCCATGCCACATGATCATCACCATCCACGAAATGAGGGAAATCTACTTTGTGTTGCCACTCATGACGGTTTGGTTGAACTCCAAGGTCACCAGTACCATGTGGATTTGAATCATCTGGTGGAGGAACCAGCTCCAATGAGGAACTCTCCCCCTTTTAAAATTGACCTGTTATATGGAAGATTCCAGTGCAGCAAGACTATCGTCCATGGCTGTGAAGTGAGTCGTGGTGGTGTGGCGGGGCATACAAGAAGGGAAGCCAAGAATCAAAGGATGATATCAATGAGAGGAACTAAGTTTCAATTTCTAATTCAACCTTGACTAGCAGCAAGATCAGAGGTGAAGGATGAAAGGAAGGAAGAAGAAAATGGAGCTGAGCTCCCAATTTTGTAATATCATTTTTTATTGAAATGACCGTTGCCTTCCCACTAACAAAAAGAGCACTTATACAATTCAAGCATACATTTCTTGCCAGCTAACAATTCTTAATAACCTTAACTAACCAAATATTAAAACCTAATTTAATCCCCAATTAAGTGATTAAGCTAATCACTTATTACAATCCTATCATATGCGTATGAACGAGTCATACCTTCAAAATGATTATAGTCAAGGGATATCACCTACAGGGTTAAGGGCTAGTTTGGCATTACTGAAATTATATGAAAAATAGCTTTTAATAAAGCTGGGGCCAAAATTGTGTTTTGGTAAATTAAAAAAAAAAAAAAAAAAAGTTTTTTTATCAAAATCATGGGCCCAAAACAATAGAAAGCAGAAACAGCTCTACCTCTACTTCTGAAAACATCATATATTTTTTTTCACAGCATGGCAACTCCCAATTAGCTCTAAGTTCCCAATCTCTCTTGTTATGCTACCTATCTCCTCCAGCATGGTTAACTTCCTGATTTTTCTAGGTATACCTGTTGAATATATATATGATACGGACAAAGATATGAATAAATACTTATGTTTAGTCTCTTCACTTAACTGGATATTCAATTGTTAAACATGGTATTCAATCACCAAAAGTTTGTTGACATGTGCTTACCTGATAGCTGGTTATGGCTAAGATCAATTTCTTGTAATGCAGATAAGTTGAATGTTATGAGAATGACTAAGCAACAGTAGGTGGTTAATTATATATTCTTCTGCAGTTCTGAGACTGGTCCTGTTTATGAGCATATTGATCGTCAAAAGTCCAGAGAGTTGACTATTGGACAAAGACAGGTGATTAGAAATGTATAAACATAAGAGTTTTCAACATCCTCATGTTAGTTGGAACTTGGAAGGCAAGCGGAGATAAAAAATAATCTGTTGTGAATTCTAGCCTTATCATATAATGGTACATAATGCCACATTAGTTAGGAGCCGTTTGATAACCATTTCGTTTTCAGTATTTAGTTTTTTATTTTCACCTTTTTAAAACCTTAAAATTTGTTTGGTAACTACTTTTAGATTTTAGGTTTTTTTTTTTCAAAAACCAAAAACTGAAACTTACTATTTTGGGTTTTCAAGTTTTGGCCATTTAGTTCTAGTTATCGAAATGGAAAAGAATTAAATGGTTATCAAACAGCTTCTTAATTAATTATCTAACGGTTTTTTAAGTAATTTTGTCGAGCCATATCTAATAAATTAACTAGCGAACCTAATTCATCACTTATTCAAGGTAAAGTAGAAGGAACTCTTGAGGGGCAACTTTCAAGTGTCACGTGATGAGTGAGACACCCTATATAATATATTTTCGATGAGAGGGAAGAATATCTTCTTCATGATACTCAAATATCTGCAAGGCAAAACAAGTTTTCACAGCTATTTTTTATGATATCCATTTTAGGTTTTCCTTCCTGATAGAACTTTTACCACACGCGCAAAAGGATTAAAAACACCTATAATACTTGCAAGAGTAACAAGGATATTGTAGTATAGATGACTCTAGCAAGGTTGTTCTCTATAGGGATTATTAAATAATTCGTACTAAACCAAATATCAATTAATTATTTAAAAGCAAACTTTTGGGAAGATTGATTTTATGATCTAATTCAATAAAAACAACTTTAATTTTAAGGATTAGAAAAATCTGCAATATTAAAAGAAGGAGAAAGAACTAGTTTTTTAGAAATCAAAAGCACTAGGGTTCTGTGGTCACCTTAACAATCATACATAATTCTCTCAATTACTTATGACCTATACATGCATATTTTGAAGGTTAGGTTTTCCTAATTTATGTCTACTTGGACCCCCCACATAAAGCATATATCAAACATGCAATCCGTCTGTGGTATTTAGAACAAATATAAACATGCATGACTCATTAAGTTTTTGTGAAAACCCTCTGAAAAACCATGCAACCCTTAAGACGTGGTATTCATCCTAAGTGAATTTGCACATATTAACCACAAGAAGCCTTCGTCAATTTTAGGGAACAACCGCCGACCAAAATTGCATCAAATTATTTTTCTAAAATCCTAATGGTTGCAAATCATCAAGACACTTGGATAGTTTAAACCGGTAATTAATAATTCAAAACCTACATGCATAATATCATAAGCAAATTGAAAAGAAACTACATATTCTTACTAAGGCTCATGGCCTCACCCTAGCAAAAGAGATTAATTACGCATATTCATAATTAAAATCAAAAGAAATTTTATTGAAAAAGAAAAAGATCGAAAACACCTTAAATGTAAAAGTCTAAAAATCTCAAAGCCTTGGCCAAATTCCTCTCTCAAATATCGCATAGAGAAGAAGGAGAACTAGGGCCGGCCACAATGGCTTATTTATACTGCTATAATTAAATCCTCCTAGGAAAAAAAGTCTTAGAATAAGACTAGGAAACCAAATAAATTAAGAAACATGATCCTAACTTGACTAGTAAAATTCACCCAGAAACTGTCCAGCCCGTTTTGGAGCCATATCTGCACCAAATCCAACCCATGATAGCTAAATTTAAAGCTTCTGAACATTTCTCCAGAAGGCCACGAACCCAACAAAGGTAATCTTGAGCTCTAAAAATCGCAATTAAGCCCAAAAATGTCACTTTCTAACACTGTGCACTACTTCTCTATTTCATCGCCAGAAAATAACCATTTGGTAGAAAAAACCAAAATTTTGACACGAACAAGCTAAGGAACTCACGAATGTCCTCCAATTTGAATTACTCTAAAATTTGTCCTTTTGGTAACATTTTGCTTCAAAGGAAGTCGAATGTCCTATATTAAAAATATAAAGCAAAGTATCAAAATTCTACCAGAATAATTACCAAAGCATACTAAGAATAAGGTAAAATATATAATATGAAATCTACTCAGCGATCGATCGAATAAAGCTAGCTTACAAGAGGAGGCCCGATAAGCTTCGAAGTTATCCCCAATGACTGATTTTTTTCATTGTTTGGAATGTTTCACCTTCTCTATCGGGGCTCCTTTTGCCTCTATTTTCCCCATTACTGTTGTCGCTACAGATGCTCCTATTAGGGTGATTCCTCCCATTGGGAAGAGAAGACAAGAGTACCCAGTCCTATTTTTGGAGGTTCAGTGGTTGGCTTCGGTCGGATAATAAGGGCTCTTCTTTTGAGTTGACTTTGAAAGGGTGTCTTATTTTTTTAAATTTACAAGAAACAACAAATAAACACTTTAATTGCCTTTTGTTTGCTCACTGTCAAATTCTCTCTTTGTGAAACACAAACCTAGGAAACTTTTGCCGCCGACCGTAGCCTTTGGCTTGGGTGCGGAGGCATTCGTGCTATTGCCTTTTCGAACAGGTGCTTTCTGAGCATCCTCTCTCCTTTGCCCTCTCCCCCTTTTCTTCCCCACTCATCTCCTATGCTTCTTTCCCCTCCCTGCATCCCTCCTCATTTTCCTTCCCCTTTTCTAGTTTTCTCCCTTCCTTTTTAATTCTCGGTTTTCCTCTGAGTTTAATCTTAGTTTTCCTTGAGCCAAGTCTCAACTATCCGGAGCTTCATGCCCGTTATCCGACGTTTATCGCTTGCTTTTATTGCTTTATGTCTTATAATTTTCCTTTCTCCCTCTTCCTTAGCTGTGATATTCCATCCCCAACCCACCAGGTGCTCAGATCGACGAGCTCCGATCAGAAATTGGATATCAGATCCACTTCCCTCCTTCACTTCCCCTCCCCAACCTCCAGGATATATCCCTATCGAGGCCTAGTGTTATGTGGCCTTTGCTACAGTAAGGATATTTTACATATCCCCTTAGCCTCACATTCTACCCATAAGATACATTGTTTGTATATATTTGCAGGGATTCGTGAAGGGGACTTGGATCTGATATCTACTTTCTCAGTTTGGAGTCTGTTCTGAGGATGTGACGGCCGCGGCGATCTGGTTTATGCTGCTTGAGATTAGGATTTTCTGTTGTTTGTTTTTTCAACCTTCAGACCTAAGCTTATATGAGCCTTTCGCTGTATCTTGGGTCGCGGCTCTCATTTTGCTTGGACCTTTTTACTTTATCTATTGTTATTTACCTGGCTCTCATTTTGCTTGGACCTTTCTACTAGGTTCAGAAACAGGCCGAGTACAAGAAAATAGTGTCATTTGGAACACCTGTTATTACCGAACTACAATCGTTAATACTATCCATTTCATGAGAAAAATGTGGGAGTAGGGGAGAAGATTGCACCAAGAAGTTAATTTTGATAACATAAACTGTCCAATGTCATAGCATTTCACGTCTACATACAACCACTTGGAATTTACGCAGTAACAACCGGTTCACGTAGAAACCTATACTCAGTCCAGACTTAATCCCAAACATCAAAGGTTTAGCACAAGTTTACAGAGCGTAAGCCACACAGCAGTTATAGTTTGGCTACGATCATAGTGTTTCATAGCTTCCTTATGAGGAGAAACATCCTCTGGTCAAGTTCAAAGTTCTTGAATTGTGAGGCTTCCCCCTTCAGCATCATCAAAAGCCCACCAAATGAAGCATTTACCTCCCTGAAGCCAAAAGACAAAACCCAATAAAAAAAGGTTCTCGATTATATGAAATAAACTATTGGAAGCAATTGATTGCGTAGGATTGGCATCATAGTTGTATGAGATATAATTCAAGTGACCTTATAGTGGTATACCAATTCCTTATGCCGACAGTTTATCTTTTCATTGTCTTAGTCACGGACAAATAAATAAATAGCACCACTGTTAGATCCTAAGAAGTGATTTATTTTTAATACTTACGCTTTTGGATCACGTTTAGAACCCTCTGAAATCTTAAAAAGCTTCCCTTGCATGACATACTCATATTCATCAGCCAATGTCTTGCGATTGCCCTGCAAAAAAGGTAAAACTTTTTTTGTTAGGCATAATCTGGCTAAATAATTTCGTAAAACTGAACTACAGATACAGCTACAACTGAGAACAAAGATCAAGAAAAGAATAGAACACAGTCATCCTTAGGAATCGTCTACTTTCTTCTCGTTGTCGATTCATTATTGTTAAAGATGTGACCTTCAAAGCTATCATATATACACCTCATAATATAATCAAATCCAAGCAGATACTATCACCAACTTTAAGTGACAGAAGCCCCGCCATTTTTTTTTCAGTTCAAGAATAATTTTATTTGAAGGCAAGAAGTATACAAACCTAAAAGCACAAAAATAAAATTTAAGAAAGAATAAAAGCATTCCAATAAATAACAATCTCAAGATGTGGCGGCAATCTGTAACTTTGAAGGTTCCAATGACCTATAAGTAAAAACCCACCCACATAAGATGTGGTGGCAATCTGTAACAAACCAATCCATTCACTGAGAATTTTCCCCTAGCAAAAAGGGGTGTGAATCACTGCAGTAATCTATATTTCCATCCATCTGAAAACAGTACTTAGGAGGAACCATGGAAAGACTGGATGTGCTATTAAACTATACTGGATGTGCTATTAAACTATATTATACTCAAACTACGCCAATAAAAACATCTAATAGACTTCTCATAAACATCCCACACAAAAGGCCTTCTTAAAATATGAACCCCATTGATCAGGGTACGTCAAAAGAAAGGAAAGCATACTTCCATCTCTATTTCATTCCTCAACTCTTTTTAGTTGGCACGTCAAGGGAAAAACACTTCGTGTTTGAAAAACCAAAGATACTAATGATTTGTACTTTGGATCATAGTAGAGAGTGGCTAGTGGACTGACTCTAGGCAAGTATCCATACAGCGAAAATGCCATTGCAAAAACCAAAAGTTGTAACCGCAAATGTAACTTGCTTTGAATTATCCCGTATCAGTAAAACAAGTGTTTCCATATAATATAAGGTCATGGGCCCCCACATCTGCAGCCAATCAATTTGACTTGGATGCTCCAATTCTATCACTGTATCATAGATAACTATTCACGTATTGGGCCTAGTGAACACACATCCTCGCATGTCGTGTTGCCCCATGTGTTTGGCTTAAGTCAGACCAGAAGTGAGGAACGGAAACATTAAAAGTAAAAAAAAAACCCCATAAAATCAAACATGCCAGTCAGTTTATTACAAGCTTATACAAATTTCAGAAGTTCAACCCCATCACAGGTCACAAAAAGCTTAAATCCGTACTGCATGTGAAGGTCCAATCAAAACCATGCATCACTATCAATGTAATTCAGGCTTCAAGTTCCTGTTCAAGTTATTCAAGAGAAATTTGCTTCATTCCAGAGGTACATGAAGGGATAGACAAGGACCGGTTTAACAAACTGAGCCGACAAGAAAAGTGTAACCAAAACCTCAGGGTGTCATGGACCATGTGGGGCTTTGGTGATAAAATGTGACTAATGAACAGATACCACTCTGATTTACAATAACACAAAACTTACTAGCTAGGTAATATCATCACCATCAGCCAAAAGTGCCTAAGCGAATCGTATTTTCTGCAAACTCATAAGACAATAGAAGATCTGGCACAAATGATATACAGTGCAACATGTGCATAACTAACTTAAATTCTAACCTTCGTTTTTATTAACAACTTACGTTCAACTTCCAAGTGGCCTTTGTTAATTACTAATTACTTATTACAAAGACTTCGGCATTTCTCAAAACGTCAAAAGGATCAGGACTCCCCCTTCAGAAACCACCTAATAGACTAACCATGAAATCAAAGGCAAGATACCCATGACTCATAGAAACTGCTAGGGACCCCAAAAAACCCAATTGAAAATATATTTTATATATGTAGTATCTAATTTATAATCCTAAATAAACCACAAAATGAAATTCCAAGAAAAAAGTTAAGGGTTCCAGAAAACCCAGTTCTGCCATTTGTGTTAAAATCACTGATAACTCTCAAGTTAATAACCCAAGTTGTAAATTCACTTACTTTCACTATACACTGGCACATGCTTTGATACATGTCACATTTTTCCAATACAGAATTACAGATACAGTAAAAAAACAAAAAGGAAACCATCAATATCTAAGCAACAAAGTGAAAAACAGAAGTTCGAGTAAGTAGAAGCTTTAAATTTTACCTGAGTGAAATAGCCAGTATCAGGAGTTCCATCCAAATTGATTGTGGAAGTTAAAGCCATTGAGAATTTCTCACCTTCCCTCATCGGATACACCTCTGAATTCACATCCAGGTGCATGAACATCTCGCAAGTCTCACTCTTTGCTTCTACTCGAGTAACTTTCAAAGCGCAAAATATCAACAAAAAATTAACAAAAAATTAAAGGTTTCTTGAAAAGGGTTTATGTAATTTGGAATAAGGAATTCGAAAAGATGGATGGGATTACCTTTATCGAACTTTTTGCCATCTGGGTTCAATCGCAGAATCTGAAATATGTCCTCGAACAGACGATCAACCATCCTTGCCGATCTGAACGCCGGGTGCTGTTTCGCTACAGAACGACGGTGTTTCGAGTAGTGGGTCGACTACGGAGCTTGCTAGCTTGCTGGAGACTGGCTTATAAAGTGCGTCGCTGAGAGAGTTGGAATGAAGAATATGCGGACCGCAATGGGAGCTACCATCTCCTACCTTGACCCGTTGAACGGTCCTGATATCCCAAAATATTCTAAACGTAAAATTAAATTTACTAAATAATTTTAAAATAACGAAAATTAAAATGATATAATTTTATTTTTTAGAATTTGTGAATTTTTTACTTGGTTAACATAAAAGAACAATAAAATTTGAATACATAATTTATTATTTTTAAACTCTCACTTATAAAAATTAGAAAATAATACTTATTACATGGAATTTAAACTTGAGCAGTCCCAAATTTCAAGTTTTTTTTTTTTTTTCCCATCCAAAAATTTAAATTTCTATATTTATAAATCCAAATAAGGGAATTGGTGCATGTTAATTCATAAATTCTGATTTTTGTTAAAATCCCAAGTTTATCTATCTCATCCAAACTTACTGTAAAAGTAATTCTCAATTTATTACCTTAAAATATTGTGGTTTTCAAACTTTTATATATCAAGTTTTTTCATCATACTCTTATACTTAAACTTACGTTTTTTTTAATAGACTTATATTATCGTTAGATTGACATGTGACATGGCTCCCACTTGGACTGTGCATCCACGTGTACATTAAAAAAATTAATAAACTAATTTAGGCCACATGGCTAAAAAATCTATTTTTTTTTCTAAACTTTTAATATAAGCTAACTCTCACTTTACTACTCTAAAATTTTTTGGTTTTCAACTTTTCATACATCAAGTTTTTTTCAACTTAGTCTGGTACCTAAAGTCATAATTCTGAGACATTTTCATACATCTGTTAAGTTTTCTGTCAGAACATCCGTTCACTGATAACGTGGCGCCCACATAAACAATGATTGGACACCATGTGTCAATATGGTCCCACTTGAATATTTAAAAAATTAATAATTTTTTTTAAAAAACATTCTGGGTTTTCGGATCTCGTCCCTAGTGGGGACTGCCAAGTTGAAAATGGAGGAGATCAAATCATGGCAGCTATTGAGCTCCATCGTCACCAGAAGCCCCTAGCAGCATCTCCGCCCACTCATGTAGAACTTTAACATGTTATGCCCTTCGTTTAACAGCAAGGGTGAATCGTTGCCATCGCCGCCGTCCAACGCCCAAAAGACTGAAGTTCTTCTTGAAAATCACGGCCGTCTCCACATGCGATCTCGGCACTGAGGGGGTTTGGGGTCGGCAGAGGGTTTAGGATCGGAATCAGAGGGAGTGGCATTTTCAATAATTGCAGGGGTATCGAGGGGCGATTTTATTAAGGATACAAATGTAATTACATCAGGAAGAGGAAATACTTAGAGATTAAGCAATCTTTATTTGCTAGCTGTAATAGTCTTGTATAAATACCCACAGTGTAACAGTTATTAATTGAGTTAATGAGAAATATTTACCTAATATGGTATCACTCGCCTCCAGTCTCACGACCTCTTTTTCGATCTCCTTTCCCGCTTCTCTCTGCGTCGATTCATCTTCTTCTTCGATCGGTTCTTGATCTTGATCGTGCTTCTTGCTTGAGATTCTTGCTTCTCATCGCGATCTCTTCCTCAATTTTAGCTATGGTGACTACAGCTTCTCCATCTTCCGAATCGGCTTCTCCTGTTCATCCGATTCCAGATGCCCTTCTCAACCCTAACTCTGCGATTTCATCCATCACGATCCAAAACATTGGATCTATGGTTCCAATCAAGCTCACAACTACAAACTACCTCACCTGGAGTGCCTTGTTCGCTCCGATCTTCCGCCGTTACAATCTTACCGGTCTCATTGACGGATCTCTGGTAGCGCCGCCCCAATACCTGGAGTGCCTTGATTCTTCTGGCAATCGCACTGCAACTCTCAATCCGACCTATGTTACCTGGTTTGAGAATGATCAGAACATTCTCATTTGGATTAATTCCACTCTCTCTGAATCTTTAATTCCCTACACAGTTGGTGTGACCTCTGCTCGAGAACTCTGGGCGAAACTGGAATCGCGCCTCGCCACTGCCTCTCAGTCGCACATTCACGAGCTTCGTTCTCGTCTTCGCAGTCTTGTCAAAGGTGATTTGACTGCTGCTCAATATCTTCAGCAGATTGAAGAAATTGCAGATGCTCTTGCCCGTGCCGGTGCTCCCGTGGAAGATTCAGAACTCATCTCAGTCACACTTCATGGCTTACCTCCCGAATTTGACTCGTTTGTGGATGCTATTCAGTTCCGTATTGGCTCTACCACTATTGATGAGTTGCATGACTTACTTCTTAGTAAGGAAATTCAGCTCAATAATCGGAAGAAACCTGTCTCCACTGCCTCTTTTCAGGCGTATCATTCATCTGCTGGTCTTCTTCCTTTGCCTGACAATTTTCCTCCTCAAGGTTTTGTTGCTTCGCATGCTTCTCAAGGTTTTACCAATCACGGCCGTCCAAATCGGGGTAATTTTCAGTCTCGTGGCAACTCTAGATACAACACTGGCCGGAATAACTCCTCTCGGAATCCTAATCAACGATTCTCTCGTGGTTCTCGTCCACATTACTCTTCTCCTCGAAAGTTATTCTGTCAGATCTGTCGCCAACCAGACCATGAAGCTTGTGCTTGTCCCCATCGCATGGATCCTCACTACACTGGCAAAGCTTCTCATTCTGCCATGATTGCTAATACTTCCTCTTCTACTCCTACCTGGATCGTCGATTCTGGTGCTAGCTCGCACATGACGAATTCGACTGCCCATCTTCAGAATACAGAAGCATATACTGGTCCAGAACAAGTGTATATTGGAGATGGCAAAGGTTTGCCCATTCTCCACTCTGGTGCATCATCTTTACATACCTCTACTCATTCTTTTTTGTTAAAGAATGTTTTACATGTTCCTGCCTTAAAGCATAATCTTCTCTCTGCGAATCAATTTCTACTTGACAACTCCTGTTCTATGCATCTTTATCCCTCTCACTTCACTGTGAAGGATTTTTCTTCGGGGATGATGCTTTTTAAAGGTCCAGTTCAACAAGGCTTCTATCCACTCTCCGCAGCATCATTACCTGCTCCTTCTTCTCATGCTTTAGTTGCTTCTGTCAAAGCTCCGAGACATCTCTGGCATCAAATATTGGGCCATCCTTCTGTGAAGATTGTAAATAAGTTGGCTTCTCAATTCTGTATTGCTGTTGTTGATCGTTTAAATAAAACCTTTTGCTCAGATTGTGCACTAGGGAAATGTTCCAGACTTCCATTTTCACGAACTACTTGTACCTCCAGCAAGCCTCTAGAACTCATTCACACGGATGTTTGGGGCCCCTCACCTTCTATTTCTCATCAGGGTTTTCGATACTATGTCATTTTTCTAGATGACTATACTCGTTATTGCTGGTTCTATCATTTGAAGTGTAAATCTGATGTACTTACTGTGTTTAAGCAATGGAAATTACTTGTTGAAAACTCTCTGTGTTCCAAGGTTATTGCCTTACGCTCAGATTCTGGTGGAGAGTTTGTTAGCACTGCTTTCTCTCAGTTCTTATCTAGCTCTGGAATTCACCATCAACTCACCTGTCCTCACACTCCTGAGCAGAATGGGTGTGATGAGCGTAAGCACAGACACATAGTTAAGACTGCTCGGACTCTCTTGGCAGCATCTAAAGTGCCCCACACTTATTGGGTTGAGGTTTTTGCTACATCTGTCTATCTAATCAACAGGTTCCCCACTATCTCCCGGCCTTCTCCCTGGCAGTCTCTCTTCAAGAAAACCCCAGATTATAAATTTCTCAAGGTCTTTGGCTGTCGTTGCTTTCCTTGGTTAAAGCCATACACCTCCTCCAAACTTGATCCCAAAAGCACACCGTGTGTCTTCTTGGGGTAGAGCCTCAATCATAAGGGCTATCTCTGTCTCCATCCTTATTCTCACAAAATCTATGTTTCACGCCATGTTATCTTTGATGAATCCCTTTTTCCTTTTCATTCCTTGACTTCCTCTTCATCGCCTCCTGTTCTTTCTTCTTCCTCCTCCCCCTTTTCCATTCCCTCTTCTCTTACCTTTTCCTTTCTCCCCTCACCTCCTGTTCTTTCCTCACCTTCACCCTCATCTCCCTCTGCTTCTGTGAATCCTGTCCCTCTCTCCCCTTCCCACCCTGCCCCCTTATCTCCTCCTGCAGATCCCTCCTCTTCCCATTCCTCACAGTCTCCAGCACCCACCAACCTTCACCCTATGCAAACCCGATCCAAATCCGGCATCTTTAAACCTAAAGCTCTCACTGCCACTAAGCATCCTATTCCTTCCCATCTTGCTGTTGACTATATCCCCACAACCTACTCCCAAGCCTCCAAATACTCTCATTGGCGCACGGCAATGCAGGAAGAGTTTACTGCCCTTACCAACACAGGTACCTGGTCCCTTGTCCTATCTTCTTCGTCTCCCAATCTTGTGGGTTGTAAATGGGTTTTTCGGATCAAACGAAAGCCCGATGGCTCTATTGATCGGTATAAAGCCCGTTTGGTGGCTAAAGGCTTTCACCAGCAAGAGGGCTTGGACTACACTGAAACTTTCAGCCCTGTAGCCAAACCTGTCACCATTCGTCTTCTTCTCACTCTTGCTGCTCAGTATGATTGGTTCCTAAATCAGCTCGATGTAAGCAATGCCTTTCTCCATGGCACTCTCACTGAATCTGTGTTCATGCAGCAACCACCTGGCTTTGAAGATCCATCTAAACCCCATCATGTTTGTCATCTTCACCGATCTCTTTATGGTTTAAAACAGGCCCCTTGCGCCTGGTATGCTAAACTTCATACGGCCTTAACTTCTCTTGGGTTCCATGGTTCTCAGAGTGATCACTCGTTGTTTATCAAGCAATCTCCCACTTTGGTGTTCATCCTTGTGTATGTGGATGATATTTTAGTGACTGGCCCTTCCTCTGCAGCCTGTCAACAGGTTATATCACATCTTCGTGCTCTCTTTCCAATCAAAGACCTTGGTGCTCTTCACTACTTCCTTGGTATCGAAGTAAAACGGTCCTCTTCAGGTATCTTTATCAATCAGACTAAGTATATCTTAGATCTTCTGACTACGGCACACATGGAAGGTGCCAAGCCCTGCACCACTCCTCTCAGTACCACTAAGCTTGATCACACTTCTCCTCTCCTTGACAATGCTTCTGAATATCGGTCTCTCGTTGGTGCTCTCCAGTACCTCACCTGGACTCGACCGGATCTAAGTTTTGCTGTTAATCTGGTTTGCCAGTTCATGCACACTCCACGGCTCTCCCATATGCAGGCTGTCAAGCGCATTCTGCGTTATCTCAAGGGTTCTCTCGACCTGGGCTTATGGTTTTCTAAGTGTTCTCAGGCTCCCTCTCTTCATGCCTTCTCTGATGCAGATTGGGCAGGCTGCCCCTTAGACCAGCGTTCCACAGGAGGTTACTGCATCTACTTTGGCAACTCTCTCATCAGTTTGAGTGCGAAGAAGCAACCTACTGTTGCTCGCTCCTCCACTGAAGCCGAGTATCGCTCTCTTGCTAACACTGCTGCAGAACTCACATGGCTCTGCAAAATCCTTGCTGATCTTACTTATCCTCTTCCTCATTCTCCCCAGTTATGGTGTGATAATATCTCAGCTCTCTCCTTAGCCAAAAATCCCATTTTCCATGCTCGTACCAAACATGTCGAGCTCGATTACCATTACATTCGTGAACAGGTTCTGGCAAATCAAGTCTCTGTGCATTTTGTGGCTTCCCAGGATCAGATTGCTGATATTTGCACCAAGGCTCTGTCCAAACCCAGATTCCTGTTTCTCCGTTCCAAACTTCACCTGAGAATTTCCCAGTTTCGTTTGAGGGGGGATATTAAGGATACAAATGTAATTACATCAGGAAGAGGAAATACTTAGAGATTAAGCAATCTTTATTTGCTAGCTGTAATAGTCTTGTATAAATACCCACAGTGTAACAGTTATTAATTGAGTTAATGAGAAATATTTACCTAATAGATTTCTACTGGATTTGGAAGGGTAAGTCTTTGAACTCGGTAGATGGAGAGTCCGAATCGGGAATCGAGTTAGGATTCGGGTTGGGCAGGGAGGGATCAATGGATGGAGTTGGGTCGGGTTGGGAGGTGACGGTGAGGGAAGGACGAGTGCGCGTGGGGAAAGGAGTGAGGAGTCGTCGTCGCCAGCATCGTCGATTCTGTCGGCGTCATCGTCGAAGCCTTCGAATTGGGAGTTGGTGAGGACGGATGAAGGAGAGAATAAAGGGTTAGAGAAGGGGAAGAGGAAGAGGAAGATGAAGAAAGAGAGCAGGGTTAAGAGGCGCGTGTAATAGAGTGACGCCATCACCATTCCTGCCACAGAGAGATCATTCATGCTCGTGAGGGCAATGATTAACGGATACTTAAGTACCATATTTTAGTAAAGTATGTGTCTTAATCTATTTAGCACAATACATTGAATCAGATATTGCATTTTTCATGAAGAATAATACCAACATATGAGTTTTAGAATGAAATAAAGTTTATTTATTGATGTCTCAAGAACATTAAAGATTTACACTTCTATTCTAATGAAGCCACAAAATTCATGGTCTTATTAGGCAAGCAAGATTTGAATCTTTCTCTAGCCTACATACAAATTGCTTACAAAAAGGACTTGTATTTACATATGGAAATAAATTGATCCTACAACGACCAACGAAGCAAACACTTGTTGCTACATCTTCATATCAGTTAAAAAAATACATATCTTCAATGTTTTCACTTCAGAAGTTCAAGGATTGTGTCGACAAACATTTGCTTGATGATAAGTTAGTTGGTTTATTATAAATTTATAATCAGGGGAGGCATCGGTCAAAGGGAGCATCTAAGAGTACGCGACATTGGCCACATGAGCAAAATATTTTTTGTTTCCTTCAGACCATCCATTCATCTCATGAGAAGTTTTAGCGAGACAGTTAATCGAAGATATGTGGGCATTCAAATGGGAGTGTTATGAAAGTAGTATGAATGCACATTGAAAATGCAGTATGGATGAAGATTCCAAAAGATGATTAAAGTTTACTATTCACTTGATGACTTTGGTTCCCATTAATATATTAAAATAACCTATAGGATGGTTTGTTAGGTCTTAACTTTTACCTATAAAAGATTGAAGAATAAAGGAAAGAAGTGAGTTGAGAAATATACGGAGGAAATGAAAGAAAAGAGGAAAGGAAGAGAGATAAGAAACAAGAGATAGAAATAAAGGAAAGAAAGAAGAGAGATGCAGAAGAAAATACCAACGAACCGATGCTAGAGAGAAGAGATAAAATAATGAGGGTTATTTTGTACTCCTATTATTTCAGATAATGCAAGAAAGTACTATTGCTGCCCCTAGAATGTAGGCATACGTGCTGAACCTCGTAAATATTGTCTCTTATTTATTATATTCCACTGCACATACAATCTCAATTTCACAACAAAGACCAACTTAAAATGGTTTTTTGTTCTTAGTTTTCATTTTGTGTGCCTTTTCTATTACATTTCTTCTACATGTCTTCCCCCATCCTTCCTTCAATCTTCTATTTTCCACATTTCTTTCATGTCTCTCTCTTTTATCTCTAACACAAAACTACAAACTAAAACTTGCAGGTTTCTGCTCCGTCTTCGTAAACTATTTAATGCAAGTTCGTTTGTATCAATCCTTGATACCTCTTGCCTAAATTTTTTTCTTATTTTTGGAATTGTAGGGTCTAAATTCTTACAATTTCATATAGTTGTGGGGCTGAATTTTTGGTCAATGTAATAGTAGATTGCATCCTTCAAACCAAAGGAAATAGATAATTGAGCCTTAATACATGAGTTATTAAATAATAGAGTTTTACATCAAAGATATAGCAAAATAATATACAATTTATATGTGGAACTCTATTCTCCAACACATCTTCTCATAGGTGAACCCATATAGGGTCACTCAAGAAATCAATCCCCACACCAAGAACAAATCAATTCATTATGCCGGAGCTAACACCTCTTTTCAAGAGCTCGGTCATCATTCATTTACTAGAGCCAACACAACTTTTTGAAGGCCTAATCATTCCCTTACTACTCCTAAGCTGAAGCTAGCCCTAACTTTTCGAAAGTCTAGCTTAAAAAAGCAAACTGGAAACTAATAAATTGGGCCTAGGGCGTGTTGGAATAATAACTTATTATAATACAATGATAAACACTTTAAGCCTAGAGCCACCACCAATGTCAATAATATTGTCTTCAACTTAACCATATTAAGTTTTATAATAACAAATGTCGATGTTTAGACTATAAATCAAAGTCAATGCTAAAAGTGACTGTAAATGAGACTATTTTATACCTTGTCCTTGACCACACTAATTTACCATGTTAATAAACAAACTCATGTTTGTCAAAGCTCAATTCTAAATCACACACGTTCGAGCAAAAGAATCTAACCTCCCTATGTTTCCGCCCATAATGTGGAATATACAGATACTTTTTCAGAATCCCAACCAACAAGATCCTTCCACGTGGCAAGAAGCCAACCAATTTGAGAAAGCACCCGTCCACCAGGCTAGATATTAGAAAATAAATTGAATATTAAGAAAAGGTGAGAAAAACAAGGAAGAACGTATTGTGTTGGAGTATTTTGGACCTCAAACTTTTGTCTGGTTGATGTTCACACACCTTCGAAGCCTCCCAGATTCTCACACCTTAACTTGCACCAGAACACCATCTTTGTTCATCATCAAGTTTTCCCTCTCTTCATAACTCCTGAATCTTTGGCTATATTTCTGATCAAAATCTCCCATTTTCTCGGAAAACCCATCACCAGATTCTTGGCGTTTCCCTGAATCCAGCTGCAAAGATTGGTTTTTGGGAAGAGTTCTGATCTGGGTGTTCCGCAAAAAGGTGGTTTGAGCTTTTGAGAGAGAGTGAGATATGATGGTGGGGGCTGCTCTGTCTGTGGTGGGTTCGTCGGTGGTGGACTCGCACACAAGTCCTTGCCTGTGTTTGGATGCGCTGCCGACTACGGCGATGAATCTCAAGAGCGGGGGAGAAATGGTTTTGCAGAGGAATTCAATGGCCAAGAAGCATGTGGTGAAACCAGGCTCCTTGGAGTTGGGCAGTTCGTTCATTGATTCCGGCCACGACAGGCGATTTTCGATGAAAGCTGTTCGTGGTATTGGCAGTAGGAGTACGAGGAAGCGAAAGAACCGGGGTTTTGTAATTGTTAATGAGCTTGCAGGGCAATACGAAGACAGTTTTGAGGATGTTAAAACGGTGAGAAACTTGCCTCCTGTTCATAATTTTGATCTACTTTCTTAGGAAGATCTTTTATATGTTCAACTCTCTTACATAACATGTAGTTTGTTGGTGTTTTGGTAGTTGATTTTGTGATACTTATTTTAGAAATTTGCGTTTGGCTATGCTTATAGAAGAATTACGGCTTCATTTTTGGTCCGTTTCGCAGTTTGAAAATCTATGTAGATTGGTTAGTTTCTAGAGTCCATTTGATGTGGGAAGATGACCCTAATGTGTTACCGTTTGTGCTCACAGACGGAGCATCTTATTGTAACGTAGCTGACTGTAATTTCCCTGCCTGCAGCAATTACTCAACTATTTTACGTACAAGGCTGTGAGGACTGTTATGAACCAGCTGTATGAGATGAACCCAACACAATATAGGTGGTTGTACGAGTAAGTCATCGATCAGGCCGCTTTCGTAATATGGATTTGACCTCATATTTTAGCAACTTTGTTGTTTTATCTAACTCCTGCTTCCATTTTCTTTGGGACAGTTTTGTTGTAACTCACAAGCCTGGAGACGGGAAGCGGTTCCTTCGCACCCTGGGGAAGGTACTCTATAAAATCTTGTGTTCTGTGGTTGCTTAGAACTCAAAAAACTCAAAAGAGGGACGACATTTGTTTTGTTTCGATTATAACTGTATTAGACGCTGAACAGAAAGAGTTCCACTGAACCATTCCTTTCGCAACTCGTTTGCGTAGCTGAAATCACTTTCTGGAAACCTGACAATCTAAAGCACAAGACTCACTTTCACACTAATATTTTCTGTCCCTTTGATGTTTTACCTACAAATTTACACAAATGACGGAAATACAAGGCGTGCTGATTGACAGGAGAGGCATGAACTTGCTGAGAGAGTAATGGTGACGCGGCTTCACCTCTATGGTAAATGGGTCAAGGTAAGCAATTTCAAGCATTTTTCTTGAGCAAGCAAAGCATATATATGGCACGGAAGATCTTGAACAATGTGAGAAGTATTTTTCTTGGACGCACTTTGATGCAGAAATGCGATCATGCCGCAATATATCAAGGAATCGCAGACGAGAACTTGGAGTTGATGCGTGAACGGCTTACTGAGACTGTGATATGGCCCTCCGATGACAACACGGAGAAGATTGGCTGACGGGGGATTGTGGCTTTCATCGTGCATGGTTGAGCTTGAGCCTTGTTTGTTGTTCCTAGTCTAGTCTAGGTATATTATTTGGCACCAAGTCCAACTAATAAGTTGGCGAATATCTGTAAATTGTATATAATGTATGAATTTGATCAAATATCCTCCTCACCCTCCCTCACCACTTGGCCTAACTTCAAGAGCTTCAGGCCCCTTGGTTGCGATTGAATCCATGTAAACGAAAACTCCTCGTACGTTTTGCAGTCAATGAAAGAAAATTCGTATCACTAACTAAAAACGACCATTGTCGTTTTAGCTTCTGTTACAGTGGAAGGAAAACGAATCCTTGATTTCGCGACGGATAAGGGAATGGTTTCTCTGAGGGCTTTGTGCGCCATGCCCGTTCGAACAGATCGCACATCTTCGAAACCGAGCATATGGAGGGAGGGGGATCCAATTTTCTAAGCAAAGATTTGACATGCCATACTAAAAGTAATTTTAACTGGTTTTCCAAACCTTATCGATTAAAAACCAAAGACCTTATTACGGTCACCAAAGATTTTAAAATCCTCATTTAAAATCCTAATTGACTACCTTCAGATTTTAAAGTGTATTAAATCCTAATTTGACTACACCCTCTTTAGATAACTTTCATTAATTAAAAAAATTAATATATGAAATACAAAGCTCAGAGGTAATTCAAATACAAGCCTAACTCAAAAATAAGTACAACAGAAAAGCCCAAAAAGAGTAAGCACACAACAATAAAAACCCCTAGATTTGAAAGACTGCAGACTCGGTCACATCAGCTGCGCGGCTATCGCCGATCTGCGACCACCTCCAAGAAGAACATATGAACAAATAAAAGCATTTTAACAACCATCAACACTAATTCAAATATTTAGATGAACAATTTCGAGAAGAAATTTAAAATCCTCTAATTCAAATCCAAATAATATAGTTGAAAATGCGTACAAAGAAAGAGAGAGGATGTCCGCATGGGAAAGAAAAATACTGTTTATATCGAAACGCACAAACTTGAAATCTTAACCGATGTAGAAAATGCATCATTTGGTCGTATACGAGCTCACCCAAATCCTCATTTATTTGCAAGACATTCCTGTTTTCCGGCAGTCAACAATATCGGATTTTGGTTTTCACAAATGGTGGCGAAATGAATCAGGCGATTTCAGTACTAGTTCCCATAGGGCTTTCTCAATTCGGAAGCAGCCAAAGTAAATCTTGTACAACACAATCAGCCCTGCCTCAATCACAGTGGCATCGGAGCATCCTTTGCCCGATACTCCTCAACACAAAGCTTCCACGAGGCCTTTGATGCAACAACATGCCACAATTATTCTGGTCACTTCATACATTTGGAAATAAAAGATTGCCGATGTATACATGTTTACAAATCTGACATGATACCACGGCATTGTACACGCAATGTGATGTGAGTCAGACGGTGCACTAAGTTTACATAACTACAACTGCATTGATCATATGATACAAGGTATTAAAAGGGGTTCAAAAGAAACAAAAATAAGGAAACAAAAATGGAATAGGCAACCTGGTCAGTACCCTTAAAATCATATAGCTTCCGGACCACTGACTGGAAAGATAGTAATGTGTTGCACCTATGACGAAAAAATAATGATGTAAGCACAAACTTGGCTAATTACAAACTCCATGTCGTCATAAGCTTTTCTCGAGGTCACATTTGGTGAGAAAAAAAATGGCCATGGCAACAATCAGGAGTGCAAGTGAGATAAAAAATGAGTCTACTTAGTGCCATGAGAAAAAAAAAAACACTAAACGAGATGATAGTTTGACAGACGGAGGAGGGGTCAAAAGCGTAGCAATTTGTAACTTTAAGAGTGGTTTTTCCTAAATATTATAAGGACCAAATTGTTATAGGCGCCGAACCCCCCAGATGTCTTTAACCCAGATGCCCTCTCCCACACTTGCTGCACTGTGAGGTCGAGTTGGCGGAGCTGGAGTGCTCCAGCTGGTTTTGATATATATGAGTTTCTTTTTCGGCTTAAGGGGCAGAATGGGGAGGCCAAAGTTAGGAAGAGAAGTTTTGCTGGAATACCACTACTATTCTATTATTTTTCCCGTACAATTAACCTCACTTTCACTTTATATAGGAATAGTTTTGAATTAAAACAACAATCATACTAAAATTTCTCATTTTCAGAGTTATGGTAAATTGGTTAATGCTTACTATCAACCAAAAATGAAGTCATTGTTTGAAGCTTACCATGTGGTTGCAAGCCACAACGGACGCTGAATGTACAATGAGGTCAAAACTAGTGCAACTTCATCATTACTTACTCTTGTTCTTTGCCAGTGGTTTGAGGGTAGGAAAATCATGTTGAGCAATCACCAAAGGTTGTAAATTGCCCAAGCGCTGTTCTTACTCGAAGCTGTGCCACAATGAATGAGATAAGATTCAACTGATTATTAAATAAGATGGATAAATAACAAATTTGAGATATCTTAACAACCTTCACATCTAGGCAAGGATCATTGACCATGCTCTTTACTTGAGAAACTACGCCAGCATTGTGTAGTTTTACAAGCCGACTTAAAGCACCAGGACTTGATGGAAAAGTAAGATTCACAATGGCCCAGACAGAAGCTGTACGTAATTGGTTTTCATTACTCTGCAAAAACTCGAGAATAAAATATTGTGTCCCGCTGTCAGCTTGTGGAATGAGTTGATGCATAACTGCTTCCTTCTGAAATTCATTCCCACTTGCAACATTGCTAAGCACATACATTCCCTATATGAAAACGACTTAAAACCCTATTATAAAGTAAAATAATATAATAGAAACAACAAGATCAACTATAAAGAAAGGAGTCAAAAGCTTCAACGCCTACTACTTTCTTCTGCATATTTAGATCTTGTTACTGTAGAATTTTCAGAGAGACGGGCTGAGGGCCCCACTTCCAACAACACCGACACTGCCCCTAACTTGGTAATTACCACCTGCCCAATCCGTCAAGTGTGGGGTTTTATATCAAAAGGCCTCGATTTTAGTTCGAGTGGGTAATCTTATTTAAACCCTTCTTTCTTTTTCCCTCTGGCAGATGTGGGATAGCCAACACGCTCCTACATGTGGGACATCCACACATAGGCAACCACATGGAGCCAAGTCAGGACTCACCCAACACTTGGGGCCAAGGGGGACCCACCCATCACTGCGCAAGGCCAAAGAGGACCCAGCCAATCACGTGACAGTACGGGCCCACCCCTTGGCTCTGATACCATGTAAAATTTTCAGAGAGACGAGTCGAGGGCCCCACTTCCAACAACACCGATACTGTCCCCAATTTGGTAATTACCACCTGCCCAATCCGTCAGGTGTGAGGTTTTATCACAAAAGACCTCGATTTTAGTTATTTTAGTTAGAATCGAGTAATCTTATTTAAACTATTCTTTCTTCTTCCCTTTGGCAAATGTGGTGTAGCCAACAATTACTTTAATCAAGAGAAGGTAAACACTGGTATTCTAATAACCCCATTAGGCCATCACAGGATTCACTTCTAAACTGGGTACTTGACTTATAAGCATAAAATCTTTTGCACAGTTAGAGTCAATATTAAAGATGGAGATGATTTCACGTTAACTAAGGCTTGCTTTCTGACTCAAGGAAAGCAACTCAATGGCCCACGCAAGACCCGGAACTAGAAAACATCTTTTATGAATAAACCTTCAACAACAACATGGTATTCCAAATTATCCTCGGTTAAACAAACCAATCAATAATACTATGGGATAAGTAAGTTCAGTTTTTGCATAATATACTGATACACCAAATGCACGTTTGAAGAAATTTCCAGTTATGCAGAATAAACTTGCAATCTAGGGATGAAATATCTGAATTTAGAACTGGCATGAATTCACAACATTATTAGACTGATAAACCAAACGCATATTTCAGAAATTTACAGTTATGCACATTATAAACAAAATGGCAATAAGGAATGAAGTATCAGAATTTAGACTGCATGTCACCAAGGTACCTATAACATGGCTACTTAATGTCATCAATCCAAAGAAAGACATCTAACCTGTATCCAAATTTCATCTTTTGAAACATTCTGCAACTGCCTCCCAACAGCATCTAATATCATGCCATTTTCAGCAAAGAAAAGATCAATGGACTTCACACATCCATCAACAAGATTCCGAATAAGTGCACGAGCCTGCTGTTGGACAAAAGGTTCGGGGTCTGCAAGGTGCAAATACATTTAATTTTAAGCTAACATATAAAGAAAAATTATTAAAGGAAAAATTCTAAACTGCCACCGACAAATCATCACATTACCACAGATGACACTTGCTAATGAAGAAGCCGTAAACTCCATGAAGATCTCTTGTTTACAGGCATTGTCAGCAAGGAACATCAGGTTCCTTAATGCCCATAAAGCATTTAACCTCACAGTTGAATCCATTGATCTTGATAACTGAACAAGCTGTTTCATGCCTCCACACTGTACAAATAATGACTTATGCATGGTAAAATCAAGGGTAAAGTACAAAAAACTACCTCAACTATTGGGATCACGACAGTTTCATACCTCATCTTTTAAAATTGACAATGTCATACCGCATCGTACGAATTTGTGACAATGTCATACCTCCGTCAATTTTGTCTGTTAAATGTTGACGTGGCAAGAGACGGGGACCACTTTCTATTAAAAAATTAATAAAATATTATTAAAAACTAAAAAAAATATTTAATATTTTTTAAATATTAAAATAATAAATAAAAGTAAAATTTTTTTTAAAAAAAAGGTAAAGTACAAAAAACTACCTCAACTATTGGGGTCACGACAGTTTCATACCTCATATTTTAAAATTGACAATGTCATACTGCATCTTACGAATTTGTGACAATATCATACCTCAGTCAATTTTTCTGTTAGTTTTTCTGTTAAGTGCTAACGTGGCTTGATTTGGAACCTACTTTCTATTAAAAAATTATTAAAAACTAAAAAACAATTATTTAATATTTTTTAAATATTAAAATAATAATAAAAAGCAGAAGAAAAAAAAACCCTCATTTCGTCCCTCCCCTCCCCCCTCCTCCCTCCTCTCTCCTCTCCCCATCTTCATCTTCTTCCCCCACCTGCAAATCCCAACAAAAAAAAAACAAAAAATCCAATTTGTCTTCCCCCCACACCCAATTTCCCCACACCCACACTCTTCTCCCTCCTGTAACCCAGAAAAAAAAAAAAAAAAACCCAGATCCTGTCGACGGGAAGATGGGTGAGCA